TGGTGCTGGCATATGTTAGATAAGAACAGACGTATGCGTTTGAGTAAGACAGAATGATATATATTATATAATATAATGTAAAAACTAAATCAAAGATGTCACCACTATTATCGAATTTGGAATTAAAAGAGTCTGTATCGACCTTGATTGAGTTGGGTAATCGGTTTAGCATCCCCTTAATGAATATATTTTTTTCTAAGCTTTCAATCTCAGTTCTGTAAACTCAGTAGTTTGTGCACGTTATACGGTGAATGGTGCAGTATCGTTTGGTCCATACAAGCTGTAAAACTTGTGTAATCTACATCAGTTGACAGCTCTATGTGTTGAAAAAATGTAAGTTTTTAAATTACTATCACATTAGAGGGCTACGAGCCAAAAATTAAAATATAATGTTTAATGGTAATAAGAATATGAACATATCAACGCAAGTTTAGCATATAATTAGTCGCAGTTTTTAACTTACATTTTTTCCGATTTTAGTACAAATCTATTGCACCACGACAGAATTTTGCATCTATTTTAACCCTGTAAAAGAATTTTTGATCCCGTTAAGTAAATTCGGAGATGTAAATTGATCTGCAAAATACCGACAATTTGGCACATTCAATTCTAAGCACAATCGCAAGATTCGTAATTTGTTTTTGTAAAACATGTAAGAACCATTAGTGTTCTAATTTTATGTGTATGTATCGTAAGATGATTATTTAATATCTACATTTTCTCGTAAACGTAGATATTAAATAATCATCTTACGATACATATGCATATAGCTAGCAAGAAGTCTGTAAAGATATTGTATACAAGTATAAGCACTTAGAAGTTCTTACAAGTTTTACGAGAACATGTTACCAGTCTTACGATTCTGCTTAAAATTTATTAATTTTAAAATCTTATCTTTTTCTATAATGTTATTAACGCACTTGTTTGATTTTAATTATTACAATAATTTTAGTTTACAATTATTTTATTGTGATACTATTTAATATATTAAATGTGTTTCTTTTATTTTGGTAACCAAGGCTTCTATGGATAACGTATGTATACCCATATGTATAAGATTTATTGATAATACGCAAGACTGAGTAAATAATAGTCTTTGAAAAATTAGTTTATAAAAGAATGAGCAATATATTATATAGTTTGTGTTAGATACTATGTTTCTGTCTTTTATTTTATTATTGTACTATTGAAAAGAGGAATAATAATAATATTACAAATTTACATTTTATTGTTGTAAACGTTTATATGACGCTGAAGAATTTATATAACAGATATAGAATTAAAAATACAAAGAAATAAATATAGTAAGATTATTATAAAACTATTGTATACTTGAGAAGATGACTGAAATAAAATACCAATTTGTACTAGAAATATATATATTTAAGAAAAATATAAACGTATAATATTTTCTCGAATGTCATTGCCATTTCTATTCTCATTGCCCCATATTCTATTTCATTCATCCATATCTAAGTCATCATAATGTATTTCAGGTTCAGGTACATTGTAGAATTTGGCCACGTTGAAGAACGCAACAAGTATTGACAATAAGTGCTAAAATTATATCTATTCTTAAACATTTGAATATATGAATCTATACATTATCACATATATCATGCATATTCTCGATTATTTAGAAATATAATCATTATATAATTCTTACCAGAAAATTCTGGTGAATAATGCAGTCCTCTTTCCTTCCTTAGACATCTCCACCGTCCTTTCAAAATTCCGATTGTTTGTTCAATATGTGAGCGTGAGCATCGGTGTAACGAACAGAAGGTGATCCTTCAGGTTGGCCCAAGTTTGGTGTCATTGAAGGGTAATAAAGGGTATGCTGAGTCTCCTAAGATAAGTTTTCATGTATGTGTGTATAAATATATTTATATAAAATTTTCATTAATTATAAAATGTATATGCATTACAAAATATATATTCTTAAAATAATTAACTTAACAATATGAGTAACATACCTAACAATCAATAATTTCTCCGTCTATTATTATATTGCTGTTCCAAATGTGCTGAGACAGTTGAAGCATTCCGAATGCGTGCATCATGTGTTTTCCCGCCATGTCCATTATTTACAGTTAATATTTTTCCATAATAGTCAGAAACCTTTAAAATACAAATATTTGAATACATTAATGATACGATAATAATAAATAACAGCAAAATAATAATTTAGTTATTATCACTGATAATAACTTGTTACTTAATTATATTTACTATCAAAACATTTAACGAACGGTATAACTTTCTGTTAATATATAAATGTTCTCGTTCTTTTTCTAGAGGCCAAATAGCGACGTGGGTTCCATCAACAGCACCGATTATACCTGGAAATCCATAATTAATCCAAAATCTGAAGAAATAATATAGTGATACTAATTTATTTTTATTTTTAAATATTATATTCATCTAACAGCTAACTTATTGTTACACATGCAAGTTAAAAAATCTTGCCCAATGCGACGTTGATATGATCCTGAAGCCAAGAAGTTCATAATTGCAAAGATCTATTAAAAATAATGCTTATTATTTTATAATATGTAATACACAAAATAGTATTTAAAATGTATATTTTATATTCAGAACAACTTAATTATTAGCAGTTTAACGACAAATTAATGACAGATTCGAATAGGATATATTGACAGATCCACACATATCAATCTGCATCAACCATATCTAATGACAGAATCTAATAGCAGCAAATTGATAACAAGAAACAAATAGGATTTGCAATATGTTCTATTTAAATATATTGAAATGACATTTTACTTTACTTTTTTTTGTTATATCATACTCTGTCATCAAATCATATTATATTTTGGCCAGCAAACTGCTGACAAGTCTACATTAGACACAGTTGAAAATATATTATATTTTATTAGGTTTAACTTTTTTGTTTGACACAATCTACTTAAAACACACAAATTAGAAATATATATATATATATTTGTAACCACTTGTTAGATTTTTCATTATGTTTTATTTTGTTAAATTTTTCATTATATTTCATATTGTTTAATAAACTGGATGCGTTCTGAGTGGGTGGCACCCAGTTGGACACAAGTCACTCACAGCGCTTGAGACTACAAAGCTCCTAAGCACCGGTCGCTGTGATTGGTGGTGTCCAATCGAGCCGTGGTCAATCGGGATCACCCCGTTCTGAGTTATGCATGAAGTACATGATACATTATTCGTTTTTGTTGTTCACAAAATAATAAAAAAAAGAATAAATTGATACATTATGTGTTTCATACATAACTTGGAACACACCCTATTGCAATTACTTGATAGATTATTACTTTTAAAAAATTATTATCTTTAGTTCACGGGGTATTACTGTTTGTCTCCTCCCTTCGGGTATATGAGGCAATAAGTCTTGACACAGTCGCATTGGGTGCATTCAGCAGAAAAGAGCGCTACTAGATCGCTCACAGAGGGAGCGCTTAATTTCTCTGAATGCTCTGCTACAACGTAACCCTACCTACTTTCGTCTGGATAGTACCTACTTATGTTTACAAAAATCGTGAAAACATATTTAACATTGGGTGCATTGATTTGTTAATATTAATTATCAAAAAAATTAATAATAAATAACGTAATTTTTCAATTTATGATCGATGATGGACTTGACATAAATATAATGAATAATATTCCACAACATATTCCACAACATATTCCACAACATTATATTGCAAGCCATTATAATTATATTCAGACTCGAAATATTCAGTCATCATGATAAAATTGAGCAAAGTATCACTTTTATAAACACTGCAAAAGATATACATGTGATAAGTAGCGATGAGTTCCATCGAAGTAGCAACAAATATTTCCGCTCAATAAGATGGCGTCCGCTCCCACAACATGTTGAGAGAGCGATGCGAAAAGTGTGCCATTCAGCGGATAGTTCCGTAGCGCTCTTTTCTGCTGAATGCACCCATTGATGCCTCTCGAGATAACCTATAAATATGTTCGATAACACTTCATTTATCATGACATATTTCTTTCCAATAATAAGTATGTATACATCGTTACATTTATAGAAACAACAACTAAAATTTAAGATTAAATACTAGAGTAAAAATTAATATATTATTAATTAACATTATTACCTGTATAATTCTTGGAATCTTTTTTCTGGAATATCAAACGGATCTTGAGAATCCCTTAAAATTCTACGCATTATGCATATTGAATTGTTATTTCTTTCAATTTCTTCTTCTTCTTGAAGAAAAATCCATTATAACTAATTTAACATAAAAATTAAGGTAAAGGTATAGAATACTCTGGTCATCTCAAATTTTGATAAAAATACACTTATTCGATGCGTTTTTGCACGAAATGAACGAATCTGGCAGAAAAAAAACGTTGCTCTGCTCCGCGAACCGAGATATTAATGCCCATTTCCACCAATATAGATTAACTTTAATCTCGGTTCAACTTACTCTTCGTCTTTTTCTAATCTTTAGAACTAGAAAAAGACAAAGAGTAAGTTGAACCGAGATTAAAGTTGATCTGCGTTGGTGGAAACGGATCTAAGTGTTAAAGTTCACTATTGAGGTTTGGAACCAACGAACATTACTGTCTATGAGGCCTGTTCTACAATAGGGTCGCAAGTCGTTAGCCGTAAGAAATTGGCCAATCACAGTTAAATGTGAGAAGAATAATGGACTATGATTGGTTAATTTCTTACGGCTTACCGCTTACGACTCTATTGTAGAACAGCCTTATGACTCCGGCACACCAGCGCGATGTTCGTCGCGCGCGACATGCGATATCCAATGAAAGTATACCTTTAGAATGAGAACATCGGTAAAGTTGTACACTTATTGGATATCGCGTGTCGCGCGCGACGAACATCGCGCTGGTGTGCCGGAGGCATAAAGGCCTGTCTACAATACAGTGAGTAAGAAGTAAGAGTAAGAAATTGACCAATCACAGTCGATTATTCTTCTCACATTCGACTGTGATTGGTCAATTTCTTACTCTTACTTCTTATTCCGTGTATTATAGACGGGCCTTGAGGCGTCGTCTACAATACCCAGAGTAAGAAGTAAGAGTAAGAAATTAACCAATCACAGTCGATTATTCTTCTCACACTCGACTGTGATTGGTCAATTTCTTACTCTTAGCACGGATCCTCATACGGGCAACAGCGCTTCGACACAGAGCTCTGATTGGTGAAAAGCCGGTTGTAGGGGTAAAATTTACCCCCATCACCCGTTTTTCACCAATCAGCGTTCGGTGTCAAAGCGCTGTTGCCCGTATGAGGATCCGGGCTTACTTCTACAATCAAGGCCCGTCTACAATACACGGAGTAAGAAGTAAGATTAAGAAATTGACCAATCACAGTCGATTATTCTTCTCACATTCGACTGTGATTGGTCAATTTCTTATTCTTACTTCTTAGGGCCTGCGCACAATAGAAAAACAGGAATTAGATATTAAGATTTCAACCTATCAGAAACTGATTACATCGGAATACACGATTTCTGATCGGTTGAAGTCTTATAGCGTATTCGATTACTTACTCGACCCGACTCTGAGTCAACAGTCTGTTCTTTTTAACTGCATTTCTTACACAATTTAGCTCTTCTTTTGCAGCTAAACAGAACGGACTATTGACTCGGAGTCGGGTCGAGTCAGTAAATCGAATACGCTATTAATATCTAATTCTTGTTCCTCTATTGTGCGCAGGCCCTTACTCCGTGTATTGTAAACGATGCCTTAGATAGCACTCGAACCGAAACGCATCCGTCGTAGCCGAGTGGTTCTCCAAAACTGCCTTTACCAAAATAAATTCACGTGAAATTTTTCACTTTTTCATGTTTCCGTTCTAGGGAAAAAGTTTCATAAGGCCTGTTCTTTTTGACTGAACTTTTGCACCAGTTCATCTTTTTTCCTCTTCTATCCTCCTAAAGAGAAAAGGAAGAAAGATGAACTGGTGCAAAAGTTCAGTCAAAAAGAACAGATCTATGATCGACACCCTTATGTAAATCAACATGACAACTTTAAGCGGGGAGCACAAACTCTTGCATAACGCATAACACGTAATGCATAAGAATATGTACCAATCGAAGTTCTCCGTTTCTTTCCCTTCCATGTAATAGAGAAC